CAATGATGACGAATAGGGGGCGGATCAAACCGCGCATATGTTCGCCCGCCGTGGCGAACGCGAACATGCTATGTTCGCCGGGAACCGTTCGGTACATCACTACCAGTCATGTGTCTCATCCCACCATGTTTCGGTTATGCCTATTATATCATATTGTTTAGTGTATGCTAATGCCTCTAGTTCCCCCATTTTGTTTTTTAGGCTCCTTGCATTAGTAAGCATACATTTAATATTATGCGTCACTTGTATATTTTGTGAATTTTCACCATTACACAGCTTCTCTGTTCTGAGCTTGCCCCTCCCCCCGTTTCCACCCCCCTTATGCTGTGCTAAAGCCCATCTCCTTTCTGTCCTATCTCCATTTTGTAGATTGCTATGACCCTCCCCCCCTACTACTGGTATAGTGGTCCTTTTAATTGTTCCAAGGTCAGCCATGTTACCTATAAGGTCTCATAAATCACTTCAAATGACTTGATCTATTTCCAATTGTGCTTTATCTTCTCAACTTTACAAATACTGCGAATATGTTATATTCCTCAGTACTGGTAATATGTTATAGTCCTTGGTTGATTATCCAGTATAGCATTTGGCTTATTACCTGTCTCAAAGAACTCTACCCCACTTTCTTATCAGATACCAAAGAGTTTTGGTCTTTGCAAGTTTTTTTTAAAAATCTGCTTCATTGTTGCCTTGTATAGGTTCTTCCTGTGCTCATGCACCAGACTCCTTAGCTTGCTCAATAGTAGATATGTGTAATTCGTTTAGTTTCAAATGTACATTCATACAACTCTCATGCCATTCGGATCTTACGAATGTCCAAAGTGAATAAGTGATTCGGATTTCTGAAAAGTGGCAAAACGAGAGGGAGGGAAATTTTATGTGAATGATGACAGGAATCTTGACCAATAAGCTAATTCCTTTTGTGCAATGTAATGCTTGCCTGCCCAATCCGGTTTCACTATTTCCTGTCCAATTTTTAAATGAGCAAATTTTTGTGATTGATGTTAAAGGACAGCCAATTAATGGTGATTTTATTACTGACACTTGGCCAATGGAGGCACCAGTCATTGAGGTGGGATAGTATATAAATCAGGATGTTGGCTTGCATTCATGTAACCCGACTAGTTGTGATAGCACAAGAGACTGAGAGAGAAAAAAAATACATTACATTTATTGTACTTTACTTGTTGCAAACTTGGGAGCCACATTGCTTTTAAGTCTGTGTTCCAGGGAGAAGGAGAGTTTTTTTGCCTTTTTCACCCCTGCCTTTTTTTTTTTTTTTGGAGGGAGGGGGTGTGAGAGAGCGTGTGGCTGTACAAGGGTGTCTCTCTGCTGCACTGTGATTTTACTGCAGTGATTAATTATGTTTTTTTTTTGTGATTTAATTTTAAATAAAAATGTAAGAAAACAAAAAGAAACTATAATGGATCATCCACGTCCTTCTCACATTCTCCCCTCTCTCACTTGCTTGTTCACACACCAATTGCTTTCTGTTTGCTATCACTCTGGTCTCACACTCTGCTCACTCTCTGCTCCGAAACGCTCCACAAAGATGGTGTCACAGGGGTGGGATTATAGAGTTTGCAGAAGTGTTGCATGCTGGTAGTGCTCCCTGATTGGCTGCATTATCTGTGCAGTGAAAATTTAATTTTGTAAACTGTTTATATACTAATCTAACACTACTAATTAACTAAACCCAGACCACTTCTTTAAGATTAAGTGGTGTAGGTGCTGCTGTGGTCAACTATGCAATGTAAAACATTGCTGTTTAAGAAAAAAAACACAGATTTTTTTTTTTTTTTTTTCCAAAACAAACGACATTCTGAAACTGCAGAATGCTGAATGTCCAAACCGAATGCCAGTTGGTAGTTCCGAAGTGTTGAACCAAACCGAATGCCATTGGTTCGAATTGCCAAAGCAGACAAATTTTTTTACTTACCCGAATTTCCGAACCGAACCAAACCACATTTTTTTTTCCCATGCACATCCCTACTCAATAGATCCCTCTCCTCCAACATCCTCTTTTTGTGTGCCTTGAGTATTGCAATCAGCACCCTATTGTCACATGCCTAAAACACAACCCATATGGTCTAGGTTGCTACTTCTTCAGATATATTAATTAACAAAAAAAATCTCCAGTCAGATCTCAGATTCTCAGTCTGAAAAAAATGAGCCATTCAGACCACACACAGTCTCTGCTGACAAGTTATTGTAATGGATGAGTATAACATTAACAATACAATTGTGAAATCAGAACATAATCAATACTGGGGTGTCTATTTTTCTAAACCTATATTTCTTTCTTTTTTGGGGGGGGTTTGAAATTTTAGATGCATAACAAAGTTTTGCCTAAACACTGGAATAAAGTCCTTTCTGTATACCAGCTCTAACTGAAAATAATATGGAAAAAAATGGTGGATGTGTGTGTATGAATGGTATGTATGTATTTTGTGTAACAAACACTGGTATTTCGTATACCCGTTAGTTTGGTTCTTCCCGAACTGGTAGGTATTAGTGATTATAGCTCGCAGTTCTGGGTGCTGATTCGTACATTTCCCAAGAATCAAAGTGCAGCATACAAGTAAATTCCGCTGTTCGGCAGTCACATACCCAAACATCAGCCTAGACTAGATGAAGGGTACATCAAGAATGATTGTTTTATTCAGGCCAAATGGCTGGCTTTGATGCAATTCCAGAGTACAGTAAACACACCCATAAAAATTCCCCCAATACCCTCTCAAAAATCACCATGACTCTGCATAAAATACATACTAATACACATAAAACATCTAGGAACCCCCGTAAGTGTCCTATCCCCGGATATCCTGGATCTGAGCGCCCAAGTTGTCAGATGAAGTGGTCAGTCCATTTTGGGAGTTTGAAACCAAACAAAACCACAAACAGTTCCCCTAGCTCATGGGCAGTGTTTGTTCACCTGGTTTGTGTGAACAAACCTACCGAACAGCGATCTCCTGGATTGTCTGGGAAAGGAAGATGGCGTTCGCGAAGTTGACCAGTGTTCAAGGGGTCGAGTGTCCGATTTGGAATTCCAGACACTCACCGACCAAGTCCCGCTGCCTCCTTTCATGCAACAAGATGGCTGCCATCTTCAGCACATGGCATTCGGTTATACGAACGGCAGCCACATGTGGAGAGCACTTAATCCTGTGGTTTCTTTATAGTTAATGAGCCAGTGGGGTGGTCGGGGTTTGGTAGATTTATTCTTATGTTCTTTATATAGCGCCAACAAATTCTGCAGCGCTTTACAGTGGGTGAACAAACAAACATGTTGTAACCAGACAAGTTGGACACACAGGAACAGAGGGGTTGAAGGCCCTGCTCAATGAGCTTACATGCTAGAGGGAGTGGGGTAAAATGACACATAAAGGTAAGGATAATATTCGACTAATGACAGTTGCAAGAGAGGAATCAGTCGGGAGCTATTAACAGTTTAATACCCTTTTATAAGGAAGTAAGTTTTTAATGATTTTTGAAGGAGTGGAGACTGGGTAAGCATCTAATGGGGGAGGGAAGTGAGCACCACAGGAACAGTGCAGTCCTTGAAGGCAAGCATCAGAGGTGGGAGTACGGACAGAAGATAGATGTAAGCATTCAGCAGTACGTAAGGGCCTAGACGGGACATACTTGTGAATAAGGGAGGATAGATAGGTGGGAGCAGCATTATGGTGAGATTTGAAAGCAAGAACCAGACTTTTAAATTGAGCCCTATATCTTAGGACCTTAGTCGCATCTGGCGTTAGGTAGGGTTGGATGCGCGCAATGTTTTTGAGATGGAAGCAGTAGGATTTGGTGATATACTGAACATGAGGTGTGAAGGAGAGGTCGGAGTCAAATAGAACACCTAGGCAGTGAACCTGCATAGTGGAGCTGATGGCAGCACCGTTGATTTGGTGGGAGACAAAGGAGTAGCAACACTTGAGGGAGGAAAAAAATGAATTTTAGTTTTGGTTGAGTTTAGGGAAGTGGGCAGCCATCCAGTTAGAAACAGCAGAGAGGCAGTCAGACACTAGTCAAGGGGGACGGGGACAGATAGATTTGCATGTCATCCGCATAGAAATGATATTGGAAGCTAATGAGTTTACCAAGAGAGGCAGTATAGATAGAGAACAGTATGGGACCTTGGGGGACACCAACAGAGAGGAAGTGGGGAGAAGAAGCTGAGCCAGAGAAAGAAACACTGAAAGAGCGTTGGGAGAGGTAGGAGGAGCACCAGGAGAGAGCAGTATCTTGTAGACGGATATTGATGATCAACAGTGTCAAAAGCCGCAGAAAGGTTGAGAATTAGGATAGAGTAGTGACCACAAGATTTTGCAGCGAATTGATCATTGGATACTTTGGACAGTACCGTTTCCACAGAGTGCTTAATGCGGAAACCAGACTGAAGCGAGTATAGCAGAGAGTTGGACTCTGGAGCTGGAATGTCCATCTCGCATACACAACTCTTTCAAGGATCTTGGATACAAAAGGCAGTAGCGAGATAGGATGGTAGTTGGAAGGGGAGTTAGGGTCAAGGTTGAGCTTCGTTAGAATTGGGGTTACAGTAGCATGTTTGAAGGGCGATGGAGATAGGCCAGAGGAGAGGTTGAGAATTTTAGTGAGAGGTAGAGAAAGAGAAGACCGAGTACGGATGAGATGTGAGTGAATTGGATCTAGGGAGCAAGTGGTGGGGCGAGAAGACTGGAGTATTGTAAGGGGAAGAAGAAAGATGAGAGATCTTGTCAGTGAAGTAAGTTGCAAAATCTGAGGTGGTCAAGTTAGTAGGTGGAACAATAGTGTGAAGAAGAGCGTTAAATTTGTGAAATAGTCGTTTGGGTTCGTGGGAGAGTGTGGTTATGAGGGTATTGAAGTAATTTACTTTTGCAGAGGAAAGAGCCAAGCTGTATGAGTGCAGCATAAATTTATAGTGGAGAAAGTCAGATGCAGAGTGACATCAGTTCTGGAGTATTTTTGGAGGTATTAAATCAGCTTGGTGTGCCAAGGTTGTTGTTGGGGGCGCTTGCTGCATTTAAATGTAGGAGGTGCCATGATGTCTAGTGGAGAGGGTGGAATTGTAGAAGGAGGTTGCAGAGTTAGGACAGGTGAGGTTTGAGATAAGTAAAAGCGTTTGGAGGTTAGTGGAGAAGTTCTCTAGGTCAAGATATTGGAGTTTTTTGTGATATTGATGTGCAGATGGTGGTGTCAGTTGGGTCCTGGGTGTGTTGATATCAAAAGTAAGCAGATGGTGGTCAGAGGAAAAGGAATATTGGAGAAATTAGAGGCGGTACAGAGATTGGTGAAGGCGAGATCAAGAGTGTTTGCTGTATGGATTGCTAAATTGGACCATTGCGTGAGGCCAAAGGAGGAGGTTACAGAGAGCAGCCGAGAGGCATTAATGCAGTTGGGGTTGTTGATTGGGATATTGAAATTCCCAAGTATAAGGGAAGGAGTGCTAGATGAGAGGAAGTGGGGATGCCATGAATAAAACTGCTCAATTAATAGCCTAGGATTCTTAAAGGAGTGGGTTTAAATAGGCGGACAGTGTGAACTTCAAAAGAAGAATAGGATAGGGCAGGGGCAGTTATGATTGGTTGAAAAGTACATTGAGGGGAGAGAAGGATGCCTACACCACCTCCTTTACAGTTGAGTCTGGAGTGGGAGAGAATTGTAGCCCACCAAAACATAAAGAGGCGGGAGTAATGCTATCAGAGGGGACAGCCAGGTCTTTGTAAGTGCAAGTAGTGTGAGTTTGAGATGAAAAGGCTGTTCATTTTAAATTACTGCAGATGGAGCGGGCATTCCAGAGTGCTCAATTGATTTTGGTAAGTGAGGGTAAAGGGCAGGGTATTGTGATGAGGTTTGTGGGGTTTCTGGTTGTCTTAGTGTGTGTAGAGTAGGTGAAGGGCCCTGGATTGGGAGAGACATCACCAGCTGCTAGAAGAAGAGAATGTGACAGGAGATGTGAATGGGTTTTGTATGAATGGGGTCTAGGATGAGATTGATTGTGGGAAGGAGTGAGATAGTAGAAAAATGAGTGTAAGGCATGAGATGAGAGAAGGGGGGAGTGTAGCAGAGAGGGGCATATGTAAAAGTGGCTGGGGATGAGTTAAGTGGGTGTAAGGAGAGATTTTTTATATTAAGGGAGAAGGAGGAAATAAAGAGGTGGAGAAGACAGATCATTCTAAACTAGAAAAAAGTATGGTGGGGTGGGGTTGTCAGTTATAAGACTTTCTTACAGCAGTATTGGGGCTTGATAGTTTTGAAATCAGGCTGCTGAATAAAGATATGTAAGGGTCCGATAAGCTTGCAATAAAGGGAGGGGGATATGTATCTAGCCACAGAGATGAAGAGATGGTTATTCAAATAAAAACAAACATATCAATAAAAGAAGGGAGGGGTCAGAGGTCAGTCAGAAACAAAGGGAACATCGAGGAATGCATATAGGTGAATAAAACAATTACATACAGGGCTAGCAAAACTACACTTTAGCATGACAGGCAAGAAAATAAACAATGCACACAATATATATAAAATAAACAAAATGTACAGGGTGGTTAAATTAAATATAAATGATGTTGTGCAGGATAGAGTCTTAGTGTGGTCTTCCAGAAGGCTACCTTGCTTATTGCAGCCGATCAGCTGATGGAGCACATACTTTCTTACAGCAGTATTGAGGCTTGATAGTTTTGAAATCAGGTTTGCTTATTGCAGACGATCGGCTGATGATGATTTATCTACCGAATGAAGAAAAAATAAAGTTTGGAATCCAAAGGGTATAGTTTTGTCACAATATGCAATACTCTGGTATTTTGGCATAGTGTGTGTGTGTGTATGTATATATATTTATTTTGTGTTAGGGACAAATAGGCGTATTTGGAGTAAGGTTCCAATATAAGCGTAGGATAGTATAAAAGAGCAAGTCGGTTGTGGTGTGCCGGGACCGACGATACGGTAGGCCTGTAAATTAGAGGGCCCACCTAGGAGTAAGAAAAGTAAATAGAAAGAAGAAGAAAAGTGTTGAGCATGAGGAGTGGTGGCAGGGTCATTCAGATGCTGACCTCGAACGATATGGAGCCAGGTAAGGGGTGTATAAACTTAAGCCCCTCCCACAATTACAGGCCAAAATTGCCTTAATACTTGTGTTAGGGGCAAATAGCTGTATATGGAGTAAGGTTCCAATATAAGCTTAGGATAGTATAAAACAGCAATTCGGTTGTGGTGTGCCGGGACCGAAGATACTGTAGGCCTGTAAATAAAGAGGGCAAAAGTGAATAATCAAATATTTAATTCATTCAACAAATACATACACATTAACCAGACATTTCCTTAAATGCATTTATTTCCTGTACTGGTTTGGGTATGTAACTTGTGTAAGCGGAAGATTTCCATCGCCCCAGTGATTTTATAATATGCACTGGTATGTTGGTGCTGGAGGCTGTGGAGGCCTCCCTATACGGAAGGAGTGACCCGAGTAGGTAGAAGGGTTGAGACCTAGCATTGTTAACAGGGATCTGATATATCTCATAAATGTAGCGGTAGTAAGTACAGAGCCTTGTAGTGCAAATAAATGTTGTGATGATGGTGAAGTAGGATTTTGCTGGTAGGAATCTAGGACCACAACTGGACACCATTTATTGTGGGTAGGATAAGTGATTTCTACTGGTGGTGCTTGTTGACTTGTTTTGGACTGTGGTAGAGCCAGTATGTTATGGTCCATCTGTTTACGTAGGTGGGATCGTTGAAGACCTTTGTCTGTCTGAGTGGTGGTGATGGTATTGAACTCTCTTGGCCTGAGGAAACTTGGCTGCTCTAATGACCGAATTGGTGGTAGAATTAAATGGTTTTAAATCTAATCGGTCGGATAGGGATTGGAAACGCTTGTTATCTATAGGTAATCTCTGAGAGGTACGTGAGGGAAATGATTTCTGAATATGTTCTTTATCTGATATGATGACATAAAGCTATGGTTGTTAGGCCATAGGGATAGCATGTGGTGTGGAATGCCTGTCAAATATAACTTAATGGTGTTGTAAGATAGTTGTGGTTTCAGATGGCAAAAAGAAGCGAAAGCAAGGTTAGATGTCATGATAAAAGGTTGGGATATGTTGTGTTTGAATAGAAATCTTTTAAACAATGAAGGCTCTGATGTATATCCTGCAAGTACTGGATGATAGTGCTAATTTGGACAGATCCCTGCTGTGTTGCATAATTATGTCTAATCCATGATTAGTTGCTGGAACGAAGGAGTGGCTGTGGCTGCTTGAGCGGCTGAAGGAAGCGCTTGATGAAATGTCTGAAAATTGAATCGAGACAAACTGTAAGCGGCTATGTTACATATGTCTGGTACATGAAAGCAAACCAAGTAGAAAGTGACCTGCGGCCAACCAAGTGAGTTTCCTGAGAAATCTCATGATCGTTAGAGATGATGAGCGGCCCTGGTTGATGATATGACATGTGGCCTGGTTGTCTGAGTAGTAACAGACTGATGACCCTGACCATGAATGACCCCATGCCACAGCAGCTGCTACAATAGGGTAGATCTCAAAAAGAGCTGAGGTAGTGAAAAAAAATTCCAAATCCTGGACTTCTTCAGGCCAACTACCCCAAAGCCATTCATCCCCAAAGATTGCTGCGAAACCCATGGTTGGTGACATGTCAGACAATCCTGGGAGGAACAAGCTTTTACCATTCCAAGTGCTTAAGAATTTCTTCCACATGTGCAGGTCTGCTGTGGCTTGAATATCTAGGGAAAATCTATGGTCGTCATGTCGGAAGTGTGGAAAAAGACAAAGTCTGGATATGAAAGCCCGGCCTTGTGGTATGATGTGCATGGCAAAGTTTAAGGAACCTATAAGAGATTGAAGTTCCTTGCGGTTGCAAGTACCCAGCATGATGTAGTGCCTGATGCTGTTGAGAATGTTTGCTATTTTCTCTCATGGTAAGCTTGCTTGCATGGATGCTGAGTCAAATTGTATGCCCAGGAATGTAATGATAGTGTCTGGGCCTTCAGTTTTCTTAGGGATACTGGGACGCCCAAGTGGTCGAACAGACTAATCGCTTCCTTTAGGCTTCTGCGGGGAAAGTTGTTTTCTTCGACCAAAAAAAAGTCATCTAGATAATGTATGACTGTGGGGCATCTGGATATATTTAGTAACAGCCAGCAAAGTGTTTCGGTAAACGTGTCAAAGATTTTGGGACTACTCTTTGACCCAAAGGTTAAGCGGGAGAAGAAATAGTAATTGTCTGCCCATTTGATGCCATGTAAATGCCTGAGTGTAGGGTGGATTGGTAGCAGTTTGAAAGAATTGGTGATTAGTGATGTCGCGAACCCGAAATTTTCGGTTCGCGAACGGCGAACGCGAACTTCCGCAAATGTTCGCGAACCGCCCGAAATGCCATTGACTTCAATGGGGAGGCGAATTTTAAAACACACAGGGACTCTTTCTGGCCACAATAGGGATGGAAAAGTTGTTTCAAGGGGACTAACACCTGGACTGTGGCATGCCGGAGGGGGATCCATGGCAAAACTCCCATGGAAAATTACACAGTTGATACAGAGTCTGGTTTTAATCCATAAAGGGCAGAAATCACCTAACATTCCTAAATCACAATCAATATGGATTGACACCTGACATATGACATGTTGACACCTTGACATATGGATTGACACCTGTCCTCAGAGCCCCTGATGCACACGGACACAGAGCAGAATAGAGACTGGTCCCCCTACATAGGGTCACTTGGCAGATATGGATTGACACCTGTCCTAAGGATCCCTGATACACACTGACACAGAGCAGAATAGGGACTGTTCCCCCTACATCGGGTCACTTGGCAGATATGGATTGACACCTTGTTACAAACTGCTATTTGTAACGGGCCCTTTAAATGGCAAATTGCCCTGTTTCCCTGGGTTGTGGAGAAGCCTCTTTGCCAGCCTCCTCCCGCATGACTATGGCCCCTGGGAGATTGTGAAAATGTATGCACTTTTATTTGGTGTGTATGGCCCTTTAAGACTGTCGGTGGGCATATTGGGGCTTATGGACTCTTTATGTGACTGGTGCTGGCCCTTTAAACACCTTTTTTGGGACATCAGGAAGATTGGGACACTGCCCCTTTAAGGCCGTGTCCCCAGACTTGTTGGGGACACGGCCCCTTTAAGACGGTGTCCCCTGTGTCCCCAGACCTGGTGCAAACCCTTTGTGCCTGCCTTGCTA